TAACGGTTATCGAAGTAAACTATTAATGAAGCACGGCACTACAACTGCTTCTCATTAGAACTCCAGGAAATACCTCATGGAGCCAGTCACTAATGAGCATATGATCACTAATAGGAGGGGGTTTTGTGAAGATTTTAGTAATTTTATATAGTTGAGATCATGAGTCAATTAAAGCTAGACCACCATGGAAAACCTGGAAGCACTGCTTGACGGCCTTTTCATCCTATTGTGGGACTCCTATGAATATGAAATTACTAAAATCTCCACAAAACCTCCTTCTATTCTCTTTTAACATAATTTTAATATCATAAATTATTGTGTTTTGTCTTTCTCATTTCATTTACGATTCACTTCATATTACCGAATTGGTTTTTGTTCAGGACTAATCCTTTTATGGTAACTTTTTATTCAGTCCTCGTAATAATAATAATCTGTTTGATTTCTGAAATTTTATGGCAGTTTCTATGAAGTTTATTATCAAAAATATACGTAAAACATTTGTATTATACTTTGCTCAGTTTTCTCTTTTATTATTGTAATTAAAAAAAGAAAAAATCTATTTGAAAGCAACAACAAAGACACACAACGCATAATCAAAAAGAAAGATACCTTGGATTTTCTGGAAAAAGAAAAAAAAACAACCGATTTGTAAATAGTAAAAAGTTGATATATATTCTTATCAATATTATAATGTGAAAGAAGAAATAACTTTTAGTTAATATTGTAGTGTGGTCTACTTATATCCATATAAGTAGTATATGGTGATGGTTAGACATAGAATGTATTTTGGCAGAACACCGATAAGGAATGAAGCGCAATCGGTATGAAAATACATGAATAATGAAATCAGAGAAGGCGGACTGATATTTGCAGAAGGAACATTGAAGATTGAGATAATTGTTTGTTATTTTGTAAATTAACTTTTGACTGTATGGTTATTATAAATTAGTCAGATAATCTTGTTATATCTTGTGGCCGAGTGGATGCCTAGTTAATGTATGACGTGATAAAACGGCCAATCAGGGAGCAGAGAATTATCGATTGGAACAGTGACACATGAAACCGTACGATCAGTCTAGAGGGCTAACCGGTCCTGCTTCTGCCTAGCCCAGCCAATTAAGTCCAAAACACCAATAACAGCCTCTCTGGTATGAATCACTGTTCACAAACATACTGGGTTTATACACCAACCAAACAGACCACATCGTACCATAAAATAGAAAATATCATTTATACAATATTTAGCCAATTTGGCTGTGAATAGGAGGGAAAGTAATCAATAAACTGATGATAACTCAAGAATCGTATAATAATAGTTTAAAGGTCAAAATAAAGCTAATGATAAAAGGAATACGAATATGATTAGATTAGTTACTTAATAATTATACGATAGGAAATATACATATCATATTGGCCAATAAATAGTCCTCAAAGTTACCATTCTCAATTCTCTTCGGGATACAACAAGTCTGTAATTTGTGCTTGAATACATTCGATTGTGCCCACCCAGTGTTTTCGTTTATCACGACAGTATCAGTCATTAGTCTTATGTATTAGGTAATTTACCTAAGTACAGTGTAATAAATTTTAAAAATATTTTATAGTACATATTATACATTACGCACATGATGCTGTCAAAATTTTATGATTATAAATGGGAAAGTAATTTGTAAAATTAAAACAAAAAAAGGACAACAACCGGGGAACTAAACATAATTTATACTAAACTATTAGTCGGTTTATATAATGTAACAACATTAACTTGATGATAAGTATAACAATAAATAGATAAATAGAAAGAGAAACAGTCACCCATTCAAATGTTGTTTGTTTGAAATGAAATGAGAAGATGAAAAAGAAAATCATTATACCGCAACAAATATATACTAAGACAAATATACGAATGTATTCAACAACATGAAAATGAAAACAGGAAATGGATGAAGGAAATTTGTAGTATAATGGTTGATATGGTACGTTTTCGGCATCATAGTTTATTTAAAAAGTTTCTATTGTTTTTTATATTCTTACCAATTGTGTATATAAATGTATATGAAACTCCCAATGTAGTTGCGGTGATCGAAAAAAGGAGACCTACTTTCGACTTTAAAAACCTATTAATGAATGGTCCCCAAATGCCCTGGTACGACCGAGAGTGGGGAGGGTCCGCCCTCTCTCTTTCTCCGATGGGTTTCGATGATTGCAAGTACTGCCAATTTGTATCTCCTCATCTCGATTGCTATTTAACTGGTCTTCCCGGTCTCTCACATTGTCCGGATGTTCTATGAACCTATGTTGATTGTTGCTCTGGTTGTTAGAAGGGGCATCGGCCTTGTAACTTTTGAAGAATCTTGGCTTTCATCATGAGGCGTCATAACTATTCCTTGAACTCTGAGGGCAGAAGTTTAAATGGTTCGAATTATTTATTCTGGTTAGCATCTTGATACCATAGTTGTTTTTCACGGGATGGAGTTGCTGACCCCATTCTAAAACCTTCTGCGTCGTGCGGGCCTGGGACCTGCAGTAACCTTAGAAGTGTTACAAATGGAGTTATGTTATTACTACTTTCATTTTATTGCAAAGTAATTCTTACCTTTTCATAATGTTGCATCGTATGTACGTAATCACATGTGTTTTCAATTCTGAATAATACAGAATACTTTAAAGTACTTATCCGGCCTTCTAAATGTCGTGTTTACAGTCCGAGAAACATGTGAGAATATTGTATGAAACACACAACAATTGAGTTCATGAACTTACAGTTCATACAACATAGAAATGAAAATCATGATAAATATTACTAAAAGTAACTAGAGAGATTTAGTAAACACTACATTATACCTCAAAAAGATTTCAAGGAAATGTATTTAAGTCATATTAATCGTTTATGACCAAATATTTTACATATTGTATTGAACAAAACACGAGTGGGGACAATCGAATCTATTAAATCACAAATTACAGACTATCTCACTAAATTCTGATAACCATACAATGAACAGTTAATTTGCAAAATAACAACCAATTGTCTCAATCTTGACCGTTCCTTCTGTAAATATTAGTTCATCTTCTCTGATTTCATTGTTCATGCATTTTCGTACCGATCGCGCTTCATTTCAGTTCTTTCCTTATCGGTATTCTGCCAAAGTACATTCTATATCTAACCATCACCATATACTACTTATATGGATATAAGTAAACCACACCACAATATGAGCATCACAAGTTTTAAGACGGTATTAATTGATTTTAGGAATTTCGAATGCTTTAGTTACCCCTAAACAAAACATTTGAAAACATACATACATATATACCTGTGGTTCATTATTTTCATGATTTAAATTCATTTAAAAATCTCTTTTGTTAATGGAAATGTATGACAGAAATACAACTAATTTAGTTTTTAGGTATCATTACCATGGTGGGGGTTGATAGTTTTAAATAAACTGAACATTGAGTAGAAAGTTAGTAATGGGAAAATTTTTTTGTTATATCCCAATGAGTAGAAAAATTATATTTCTGACGTTTCGTGACTTCATGTAAGTCACATCTTCAGTGTAAATAAATAACCGAAAAACAAATGAACACAAGTTTAAATAGTACAAATGAAACAATGCGGAATACTTTTCTTTAGTACAATCAAGATATTCTACATTGTTTCCATTGTACTATTTAAACTTGTATTAATTTTGACTCGGTTACTTATTTACCCTGAAGATGTGGCTTACATGAAGTCACGAAATGTCAGAAATATAAATTTTTCTACCCATCGTTTTATCTTTATTTAGTCATTATTTAAATTTATTTAAATAATCTTCATAAGATATGACTATTTTGTTCTTTTCTTATAATTTTCATAATTGAAATCATAAGTCAATTGAAGCTAAACCACCATCGAATACCTGGAATCACTGGACGGCCGTTTCGTCCTATTATGGTACTCATCAGCAGTGCTCATGCACGATCCCGCACTCGCCAGATTCGAACTCAGGACCTATCAGTCTCCGCACGAGCGCTTAACCACTACACCACTGAGCTGACATCCAACGGTGTTAATGTCTAACCTTAACCAATCCACGAAGTTGAGCAACCATTCACCAATTTTCTTTAGTGAGTTGATATCTCTACAACAGACTTGGTTGAACTCCATTGGTTACTGCTTCTCACTAGAACTCAAGGAAATATCTCTTGAAATCAGTCACCAGTGCGCATATGATCAATTATAGAAGGGGGTTTTGTGGAGAATTTAGTATTTTCATAGTTGAAATCATGAGTCAATTGAAGCTAGACCACCATCGAAAACCTAGAAGGATTTATGGTAGAATAACTGCTGGATATCGTTTGTTAGTGTATCTAATGCATAAATAAATTTGTATACTTAATGCTCAACTACTTTTCAAAGCAGAATTAACAAGACATCTCATAGTAAGTGAATTCGTTGTTATAAACCATTCGATATAAACTTAATACCTCTTAAGTATGGTATTTATCACAAATCTATGAGAGTCTAGTTTTGATTCTGTGTGAAGTTGAGAAAACAATACTGAGGAGATTTAGACTAGAATGAATTAGCTTTTTAATGATTCTTAGTTTTCAAACCTCACTCCTTTATAAGTAAACTAAATTATTTACGATATTTGTACAGCCAAACTTTAGAGGCAGTTAGAACTCTGCAGAATCAAACTTTTCTTAATCTCAATTGTAGATTCATATGTCGTATTTTTCTTCTGTTTGATAAAAGACAAATTTACCATAAGCTATTATTATACTAGATGTCGATAATTTTGAGTGGGATTTAATAACTTTATAATTATTATAAATTAATTAATATATTAATAATATCCCAATGAGTAGAAAAAATTAGATTTTCTGACGTTTCGTGACTCAGTGTAAGCCACTTCTTCAGAGAATAAAATAATAATTATTATTGATCTAAATAAGTCAGTATCTCAATGCAAATCAGAAGGATCTTCTGTGATTTCATTTTCTGCTGGTCGACAATCATTACCAAGTTTTATCTTCAATTTTGTTATTAATAACGATAAAATATACAATATTGGTACTACTTACAAACCTGAAATCCAAGTCTAGGTCTTCTTGTTGAATACCTTCAAAATGTAGAGTTGTATCCATAAGTATTACAGAAAAACAACATGATATCAACCAAAAAAATAACTTCAGTGTATAACCAATCAAAGTTAGTGTCTGTAAGCCAATCAGAACAAGGTATTCTGTATATAAAATGAATAAGTCCTCAACTTATGTAAAAGGTAATTTGATTTTATGCGATTTCATTATCACATTTTTAGAAAAAAAGAATAATGTCCGATACTACTGATAACAATATTAATAATGAAAACGGAAATATAGAAAATTCTGAAAGACATAATTTACATTCTATATGCCCATTATGTTGTATATTTATACAAGAGATTAGAAAATGTTATGAACAAACAAGTAAATCATTATCAATGGATAATGCTAATCATTGTCATATTAATTTGAATCAAAATAATACAATTCATAATTTAACAGGTTCAATTAAAGTTAATAAAGAGAATTCAGGAAGATCCTCCTCCTCATCATCATCACAACCATCATCATCACCACCGCCACCGCCGCCATCATCATCATCATTAAAACATGATAATATTTCTGTTATAATATTAGATGAATTAAAACGTTTTTGTGAAAATACTACAATACGTGGTCTACCACGTATAGTACGTGCACATAATCGTTATTTACGTTCATTATGGTTAATATTAGTATGTATTTTAATATTAGGTTGTTTTATTTGTATGTTTTTCTTAGCTAGACAATATTTAGAATATAATGTTATTCATCCACCACGTGTATTACGTCATACAATTAGTCCATTTCCATCAGTAACTATATGTAATTTTCGTCCAATTTCACCAGATGGATTAAAATATTTACAAATGAAAGGATGGAAAACACCAAGACATTTTGTATTAGATATAGCTACATATGCTCAATATATTTTTTATGATCAACAAAAAATTGAAGAATATAATGCAGCTAGTGCTGCATTCTCATTAGCTGGTTTTTTAGAAAGTTTACCAAATAATGAAGAAAGAAGAAAACTTGGTTATCAACATAATAAATTAATCATTAAATGTCAAGTAAGTAAAAATTTATGCTTAGACTAATGTCCAAAAAAAATTAATTTTATGTTTGTATAGTTGAAATCATAAACCAATTGAAGCTAGACCACGGTGGAAAACCTGGGAGTACTGTTTGACGACCGTTTCGTCCTATTATGGGACTTTTCAGCAAGTTTTCCATGGTGATCTAGCTTCAATAGACTGATGATTTCAACTATGAAAAATACTGAAATCTCCACAAAACCCCTTCTAATTAATTTTATAATAAGGTCAAAACAAAAATTAAAACAGAATAATACGATTTTTCGTTTTTTTATTTCATGGGTTTTCATCAGCTGTTTACAACCGTTTGAATATATATGTGAATAAGTAAGTGTGAGGTCATTTGATGATGTGAATGAAAAACATTAATTATGTTGAATCCGGAAATTAATCAAATGGATTGTGTGAGAAGTATGAGAGATTTGAAGAGTTTATATAAGTTTCAGATTTATTGAAAATAGATTTCGAAATTATAAATTGATGTAGTTGTAATTATGTAACATTCGAAATTGATGAGATGTATTGCATAACAGATTTTTGTAAATGACCCCACACTTGTTTGTACATGTAGATATTATGATTATCATTAAATTCACTTAGCATTATTTGTTTGAATCTTCTCATTGATGTTTAGGACTGCAACTGGTCAATCTCTAATTGGCATATGTTCATACTATGCGTATTGCTTCGATATAGCCTTAATTCACAAGCATTACAAGCAAAGATGGATAGTGGCTAGAAGTGGAATCCAGGACGCGCGTTTCGTCTTATTTGGGACTCGTTAGTTGGATGTACATGCATCTCAGAGTTGATGTTCACTCTGGGACTCGAAACCAGTACCTTTCGCTTCAAACACCATCGCGTTATCCACTCGGCCATCCAACTGACGAGTCCCAAATAGAACGAAACGCGTGTCCTGGATTCCACTGCTAGCCACTATCTATCTTTGCTTATTATTATTATTATACTTACCAATATCAATACTGATTACTTCATATTATATCATATCCCATTGTTACACTTTATAATGAATATGGATGTAAGTAACTGATGAGACACCATTAAACATAATGTATTCGCACTATTCTACCTCAATTATTGTTCTAATTTTATTCAAATTCGTATAGGGAACCAATTGTATGAAATATGATATGTATTCATAAAGTTTTCTTTAGTGACTGAGACAAATAATTATATTTAAAGTTATTTACTTGGGTACCTTTTAAGAACAACATGAAAAGAGTGAAAATAATCATCAGCTAATTACTCTATGTAATATTTTAACATGTTGAAATATTGATTACAATTTGACAGGCTCAGATCCGTAGCGGAATGTGAACAGTGAATGTTCATGCATCCTGAGTAATAAAGCTACAGTAGCAACTCGTATAGTTTGAATGATCATATCCTTTTTTTCAGCAAAAGAGAGAGTAACGAATCTCAGTCATCAACTTCAACAACAGGATGATTCAAATGCTTACAAATTAATTTGTTAACACTACATGTTTATGTACCATAGAATAGATGAGAAACCAGTGAATTAAGTAATAAATTATTATCAGTATGAGCATTTGTAGAGATTTTAGTACGTTCAGTTGGAATTCAAAAGTTGATCTAAGTTAGACTACCAATGAAAGCCTAAAAGTACTGGACGGCTATTTCGTCCTAGTATGGAATGATCCCACACGTGGAACTCGATTCCAGGACATTCAGTGTCGCACGCGAACGTTCAACTTCTAGACCATCGTGACGTTATTATTGTAACAAAATAAAATAACTAAAATGTGTTTTTATCTCATTAATAAAATAATGTGAAAGTATTACAGTGTTACATATATTGATACCGGAAGTAAGTATGAGCCGTAAATCAAACAGGTATAGAAAGTAGTTTGGCAGGAGAAATGTTTTTATTAACTTAAATATGTTAAATACATTAATAATAATAATAATAATAATAATAGTCTGCAGAAAAGTTGAGTGCAGAGACAGAACATATTTCTTATGTACATATGGTTCAAATTTGATCTCATAGATAATTCAAACGTGTTGTTCCCCGTTTTTTAAAGCAAGCCAACTTCGTTGATTGGTTGGATTTAGACATAAATACCATGGGATGCCGGCTCAGTGGTCTATCGGTTAAGGGCTCTCGCGCGAGACTGGTAGTTCCTGGGTTCGAATCTCGCGAGGCGAGGTCGTGGATGCGCACTGCTGAGGAGTCCCATAGTAGGACGAAACAGCCGTCTAGTGCTTCTAGGTTTTCGATGGTGGTCTAGCTTCAATTGACTCAAGCTTTCAACTATGAAAACCAATAGTTGCCTTGTTAGATCTGGATAGATACTATAAACAACCTTAAATATAAATCTGGATTAATTAAGTAATAATAATCAACTTGATAATAAGTATATTTAGGATTCAAGAAAATTGATGGTTCCTGTAAGCGCCAATTATCAAAATGTAGAAAATTTCATTTAAATACAAACAAACTTTCCAAAGAAAATTGTTTAAGATGTTACAATCAATAATACATAAGTACAATAAACAGGTAAAATAGTAACTATAATAGTAAAATAAAGATATCATGCAATCAGTTCCCTTTTATGAATTTAAATAAAGACAGAACAAATATTGATGCAGAATAATATGAATTCATTATATTTCGTGGTTTCTCATCAGCTGCTTACAACCAAATATGCATTAGAGTTTTAGCATTGGGGTAATAAATAGAATGGAACAACTGACATAAGTGAATGTAAAGGATTGGAATAACCAAAGTCATCGATGATAACTATATATATATATATATATATATATATATATATGGGCAAGGAAAGGTCAGAGGTTATTAAGTATTGAAATAAAGGGAGGCGTAATAGTTGAGTGGAGTTCAGAGACAGATAAAATCAAAAATGTGATTATTTTAGAAGTAGTTGAAAACAATTAGGGTAGGTAACGTAATAATTGAATAAAATTTGGATAGTTCATATAATTAGGAGAGACAAATGAGCGGAAATGTGTGAGAGAAAGGGTGGTTTAAGAATCGGATAAGGGGAGGGGAATATAATAAAAACTGAATATTAACCAAAATTGAACTAATAACAACAAAACTGAAACAAAAAAAAGGATTACCAGGGTAGTAATAAGTTTATCACTGTCTCTTTTTGAATACATAGATCCGGTTGGAGTTTTTTTTATCTCGATCGCTTCAGCAAACCGGAGAGCAGTTGTACTTCTTTGTTTACTAATGATTTTAAAGGCATGAGAAATGTCAATGCTGTGCCCGGTGTCGAGTAAATGCCGAGCTAACGCACTGTTGAGAGTCCTGGAGCCTTGTAGGAGTATAGGCCACCCACAAGTATATTTAACATGCATACATTTATTTAATTATACAAATAGTTAAGTTTAGACTTCACAATTGAAAGAAGTTAATGAATTACTGATGAAAAGTAAATTAATTTAAAATCGTCCTATTTACGTTAAGGCGATGAATGGATGTGATTTAATGAAATACAATGTCTAGAAAACAAATATTCTATTCTAAAAATTTGTTTGAATAATATTAGAAATGGATTTTGTGGATATTATAGTAATTTTAATAGTTGAGATCATGAGTCAATTGAAGCTAGACCACCATGGAAAACTTGGAAGCATTGGATGGCCGTTTCATCCTATTTTGGGACTCCTCAGCAGTACTCATCCACGATCTCACCCAGTGAGATTTTAACCCAATACCTATCAGTTTCGCGCGCGGACGCTTAACCATTAGACTACTGTGCGGGCCGGCATCCAAAGGTTTTTAATGTTTAACTTTAACCGATTCTCGAAATTGAGCGACACATCCACCAATGTCTTCAGTGAGTTACTATCTTATAACAGACTCGATTGAACTCCACTGATCACTGTTTGAAATTAAACTAAAACTGCAAAAAATTTCGGAATGGTATTTTTTTTTCCTGAGAATATTAATCGATCCAAGAAAAGTCTAGAAAATCTAACCATATTACTACTGTATAATCTGACATAAGATAAAAAGACTGAGAGTCAATAATTCTAAGAACTTTAAAAGTACCTTACAGTTAAATAATTCTTCATAGGGAGAAATTTAGATTCCATTAAAATAAATAAGGAATGCAAAGTGCAATTTTTTCACACAAATTTAACTATAATCATTCACTTTATAAATTATCATATTCACAGGAATGATTTTCTCAAAATTAAAAGACAGAAAACACACATATTACTTAAAAATACACATAAAATATTATTCATATATATTATTTTCATAGTTGGATCCAAGACCTACCAGTTCAAATCTCGCGAGACGGGACCGTGAATGCGCACTGCTGAGGAGTCCCATAGTAGGACGAAACTGCCGTCTAGTGTTTCCAGGTTTTCGTTGGTGATCTAGCTTCAATTGACTCATGATTTCAATTATGAAAATACTGAAATCTCCACAAAAACCCTTTCTGATCATATATATTAATTAACTTCCTAATAGTTACTGTGTATAAAACTTATTCCTTAAAAAAAGTCAGAACAAATCATTGAACTGAATAACATGAATTCATTTCATTTGGTTAAGTTCTTATCAACTGCTTACAACGCAGGAATTGTTTTTGTTAGGTTTACAAATGATTGAATCTTGCCATTGTTAATGTTAAGAACTGAATTTAAATCAAAGTAATTTGTCATATTTATGTCACATGGATATTGATATTAAGCTATAAGATATTTTTTGAAGGAAAAAAAATACTAGGCTTGAGTTCTTGTGTGAATATTGAAACTAAGATCCAAGTCCACTCAACTTACGGGTTCTAAATAGGACTAAAGGAAGTTCTAGATTGAGTTGTTTACCTCTATCTAACTTGAATTTAGAGTTTTAATTAAGTAGTTTGTATACATGTATGTATATATGTTTCAGCACTGGTGCACAAACTTCAATTTACCACTGTTCTTTTTTGGTTTCTCTTTCATCATAG